GGAAGTAGATTGCCCAACCTTCCTTCCGAGGAGTGGCTGGTGGGTTTGAACCGCCAGCCTTCTGGTTAGCAGTCAAATGCCTTAGGCACTACACCAATCCTTTTAAATTTATTGAGACTTGTTTAATGACCCAGAATGCAGCCTATCTTGGTAAATATTCTGTGTGCACTTGAAAAGACTGTGACTCTGCTGTTGTTGTGTGCCAATTAAGTTGGTTGAGAGTGTTGTGCAGATCTTACATGTCCTAACTGATTTTCTATGTACTTGTATCCGTTATTGAGAGAGGGATTTTGAAATCTCCATTTATAATTGTGGATGTGTGTATTTCTCCTTGCAGTTCTATCAGTTTTCGCTTCTTTTATTTTGAAGCTCTGTTACTGGGTACTTAGAAGTTTAGGATTATTGTGGCCTTCTGATAAATTAAAACCAGAAACCAAGCAAGACTCACTACCATTGAATCTATTTGACTCATAGCAACCCCTCCTTGGGTTTCTGAGGCAGTATCTCTACGGAGGTAGATTGCCCAATCTTCCTTCTGAGGAGTGGCTGATGGGTTTGAACCGCCAGCCTTCTCGTTAGGAACCATGCCACCAGAGCTCCCTCTGATAAACTAAGTCCTTTGTTATTATGACATGATCTTCTTTATCCCTGGTAATATTCTTTGCTTTGAAATTTGCTTTGTCTGATATTAATATAGCTACTCCAACCTTATTGTAATTAGTATTAGCATGGTATATGTATTTTCTTCCTTTGACTTTCAAACTATTTGTTGCTCTATATTTAAAGTGGATTTCTCATAAGCCACATATAGTTGGGTCTTGCTTTTGTGTCCGACCTGACAACCTCTGCCTTTCAATTGGAATGTTTAGATCATTTGTGTTTCATGTGATTACTGATATGATTAGATTTAAATTTACCATTTTGATATTTGTTTTCTCTTTGTCCCATCTGTTATTTTTATTATGATTTGAGTGAATACAGTATTTTTTAAGATCCCATTTTATCTGCTATGTCTGCATGTTGGGAGCTCTGGTGACATAGTGTCTAAGGTATTTAACTGCTAACCAGAAGGCTGGCGGTTCAAACTCACCAGCCACTCCTCGGAAGGAAGGTTGGGCAATCTACTTCCATAGTGATCCTGCCTCGGAAACCCAAGGAGGGGCCACAATGAGCACTATGAGTCGAATCCAACTCCACGGCAGTGTTTGGTTTGGTTTGGTTTGCGTATTAGCTATAACTCTTTGCTTTGTTCTTTTAGTGATTGCTTTACAACTTTAACTTAGCATAGTGATAATGCCACTTCATGTATCAGATAAGAGCCTTACTATAGTATACTTACATTTCTCCCCTCCCAGCCTTTATGCTAGTGTCAGCATCCATTTTACTCTGGCTTGTGGTCTCAACCCCACACTATGTTGTTGTTATTTTTGTTGAAACATTTGATTTTCTTTTACAGATAATGGTGAAAATAATACCTTTATATCCCACTGAAGCCCTTCCTGATCCACTCCCTGCCACCCTCTCTCACCTCATGGCCATCCTCCTTACTGCACCTGGGGTCCAGCCACGTGGTGCACAGATGCTGCCTCCATGGCCTGTAGTGCTCTCTCTGCCCCGTCCCCTCCCCACCCTTAACCCTGTTCCCATCTGAGTTAAGTTGGTCCCTTTCTGAGCTTTTGCACCATTGTGTTCACATTGTCATTGTAGCATTTGGCAGGTGATTTCCTTTGTAGTGTGTGGCACAGGTCATGGGCTGCTTTTGGACAGGAACCATGTTTGGCTGCAGCATTCCCAGGGCCTAGCAATGGAAGGCATGTGGTGTGTACTGAGTCCTAGCAGGGTTCAGTAGGAGTGTTTGGTGAATTGGCTGAATGTCAGCTTTAGTTCCTTTAATTGCCACACTTGGACTCATCAGTAGCTATGTACATTCCCAGAGGGAATGACTCTTGGGAAAGATCAGGAAGGTGTGGGATCTTGCTGATAGACATGAGCATTTTCTATATCATGGAGTCAAATATGGTGGGCACTTGATCGATATGGAGGCTGGTGAGAAGTTTGGAAAGCACAGGCCTTTTTCTGCTTTCTTGATGTGCTGCTTGTTTCTGTGAAGTGACCTTTGGGGTCCTTTGGGGCACAGTCTTTAGCTTTGATTGGTTTTCAGTACCAGCAGTTTATGAAATGGTAGGTCAGGGGCTTCTGAGTTTAATTACTGTATTTTTTAAACAATTTATTTATCACCTGGGAAAATATTAACCACCATTTCACTTATTATGAGGCCTTTTACTTAAAAATCTCACTAAGTAGAAAATCAGAATTATGTTTAATTTTTTAAATTTTATTAGAAGACTATTTGTCTCTGTCTTTATTTAAACTAAAAGTTGACATAATCCTCTAAAATGTAAAATTTCTATGAAGCTGGAACCACAGATATGTATTTTGAAACTCATACTAAGATTTACTGAAGCAATTGTTGCTACTTTGGGCTTTTTTCTTTCAGTTAAAGATGTCATGTACATCTGCCCGTTTATGGGAGCAGTGAGTGGCACCTTGACAGTGACGGACTTTAAAATGTACTTCAAAAATGTAGAGAGGGTGAGTATCAATAGGTGTAGTTTCATTTTTAAAAAACACTGCAGAACAGTGAAAAGAAAAAAAAAGGGGGGGCCCTGCAAGCCCATCACCCAGAGATAACCAGGGCTGAGTTTTAAGATGTGTGAATTTGCAAAGATATTTTGTACCCTGGAAAAAAAAAAAGGCTATGAAAGTACCACTGGAACTGGGAGGGGAATGTTCCTTGTAGTCTGGCTATAGACTTCATGAAGCATGCTGTCACTCCACCTTCAGTTTCTTGGCTGGACCAAAGGAAATGCGAAGTAAACAAACGTGTTTTCTTACGCAGTGAGGACTTCAATCTGAAAGCACTGTTGACTGACACTGACAGGCATCCATCCTAATTTTTAACACTAGGATCCTCATTTCGTCCTCGACGTTCCCCTTGGAGTCATCAGCCGAGTGGAGAAGATCGGAGCACAGAGCCATGGAGCCAATTCTTGTGGTATAGAGATTGTGTGCAAGGTACGGTGCCAACCCCAATGGGAGTGGAAAGGGGGCTCTCAGCTTGGACCTTTCTCTGACTCCTCCTTCTTTAGACAGTAGGAGTCATTTGTACTGTTAAGGCTTTAGACACTTTCAGAACCGAGACCTCCAAATCTTACCTCAACTAATTGGAGCTTTTCTTTTCTAATCACTACTCTAATGACTAGTAATTGTAATCACTACAGCCCTATAAGCTCAGGGCTACCTCTCTCTGCTGGGCTCTCAGAGGAGTCCAGCTGGAAGCAGAGAGTGATACGTGCTTCCACTTGTTGTGTTAACAGTGCTCTTCAGAGCAGTGGCTGCTCAAAGCCTTTGTAAGGGGTCAGCAGGATGCTGTGAATCCTATGACAAAAACACAGTTCTGTTTCTTGGTGATGCTGGAATTCCACCTTGAGCTGTGCTTATTGTTGGTTTTGTACCCTTCCTCCAGTGAGTTAAGTAGGGCATATACATGGTAACTTGACTGACTAACAGTCTTTCAAGAAGCACTCTGCACTGAGCTGTTTCACTAACAATGCCTTTGCCTCACACAATACAGTTGACTCAAGCCACGAGCTCAGTAACATACCCAGGAAAGAGTCCTGCCTCCGAAATTGTCAAGGACCCTTCTATATGGCAGCTTTGGAGTCCTGTGTGTAATCAGCCCCTGTGGATGGACAGCGAGGCTTTGTCCAGTCTTTCACTGATAAATAGTATCACAACAGTAACTTCTTCCATTTCTCCATTGCTTTTGCTTGACTGGTGTGTGGTCATATTTTTTCAAGGTTTATACAGTGTTAAAGAGGAATGGGCCTTTTGCATTTCAGTAATGAGACCGGAAGCACAACTCTAAGCACAGCTCTAGGTCCCACAGTCAGAGGGTACTAATCAAATTCTCACTTCGGCTGATGCTTTCCCCACACACATCCCTTTGTTCCATTGCTTCCTGAAATTTCTGTTTTTATCTTATTGGAAGTATTTTTATTAATTGTCTTTGTTAGTTGGAGCAAAATAGAGTATAAAATGAGAAATGAACCAAAGTGTTTTATGCAGCAGTGTGCAGCGTGGCGTCTCCTCGGTACCCCCTACATGTTGACTAAATGAGCTTTGCTAATTGTTTAACAGGATATGAGGAACTTGCGACTTGCTTATAAACAAGATGAACAGAGTAGACTGGGGATATTTGAAAACCTCAACAAGCATGCATTTCCTCTTTCCAACGGGCAGGTAAATACACCAAAATGAACTGCTCAGGCATGGATTCGTGAGGGTCCAGATTTTTCACGTTGCATTATTCCTTTTCCAAAAGGCTTCCTTTGTCTCTCTGTTGGTAACGAATAGTGGAGTATGTAAAATTTGTCAATTCTGTGTCATGATTAAAAAACACTGCCAATTGTTACTTCAAAATTCACAGGTTAAAAAGGGAGTCTTCATGCGTTCAGTTCACAGCTGAATGAAAATCTTTAAAATTGAGTATATGACATAAAGAAGGAATACTGATATCCATGCATTTTGTGACTCTTTTTTCTATCCAGATGCTATTTGCATTCAAGTATAAAGAAAAATTTCCAATTAACGGCTGGAAAGTTTATGACCCAGTATCTGAATATAAGAGACAGGTAAAGTCTGATACTTATCAATCTGAAAAGAGTGGGCTGAGCACATTTTTCTCTTCTAAAAGGCTGGGAATATAATGGAGAAGCCTTTAAAAACAAGTTGTACATGGGCCTGAATGATCTAGTTTATAAGTTCATCATCTCCTGGGTGCCACCTACTCCCTACCCACACCTGTGACTTTGTCACTGTTTGTTGTCCTCTCTCCAGAGGGTGAGTGGGATATAAGGGCGCATGGTCTTATTCTGGTAAAGAGTGGATGGGTAAGGATTGAAATCAATGGCTTAAATTAAATGGGAAGGTCCACCACGGCTCAAGCCGGCCAACATAGTGCTCCTACATCTGGGACATCTTCAGTATGTTGTCAGTTTCATGTTGTGCCAATAAGATATTATTTTCACAACATTCATGTTTGTCTCTACCTTATATTTGGTGGAATGTTTGATATTGCTTACTTTAGATGTTTTTAAGAAATTTCTATTTTTTTCTAAAAGACTTTCCTGTGTATTTTCATTTTTATCCTGAACACAACACAGTGCTCGTTCCCACATAGAAAACAAGATACAGAATGCATAGGGCTGAACTTCCAGTGTATAATTTTCATTTTTTAGGATGGTCTGGAAATTCTTATGTTTCATTAAGTTTTTAGAAATGACTAGACAACAGGTTATATTAGTTAAGTATACTTTTAAACTTTTAAGTACAATGAACAAGGAATTATTAATGGATTGTACTTGAAAATAAGAAATGAGTGTGGTTCCCACTTTGTGCTTTTTGAAGGTCTGAAAGCTGTCTCTCCCCACTTCCCTCTAATGCCTTACAGGGTTTGCCCAATGAGAGTTGGAGAATATCCAAAATAAACAGTACTTATGAGTTCTGTGACACCTACCCTGCTGTCATTGTTGTGCCAACTAGCGTAAAAGATGATGATCTTTCAAAAGTGGCAGCCTTTAGGGCAAAAGGCAGAGTCCCTGTAAGTAACAAACATGGTAACTTAGATCTAACATGGCAAGATATGAAATGGGAACAAACCTAGTGAACAACGTGGAAAGTGGGCAAATCAGCTTAAAAACATGAAATATCTTTGTTACTCAGGAACTACCTAGTTACAAACAAACATTCTGTTTGCTTGGCCTCCCTTTGTATGAATTCATATTACTAAGTACAAGGCTAACTTAATAGTCTTGCACCTGGCTAGAACGTTCTGTCCTCAAAATGTAGTAGAGAGTAACAAAGGAGTAGCAAGAAAGAGTTGGCATGCAATTACATGACCAGTCCACAACCCTGGTCATCCTAGAGCAAGTACACTGTCTCCTGGACCTGAGTGGGAATGCTGTCGCCACATAGGAGAGAGACCATTCCAGAAATAAACAGAGAAGCCTGCAGGGAGTGAATGTTGTCGAGCCCATAGTTTGAAATACCTGTTATAATCCTGAGTCACTTGGCTGCTAGAGGACAGTGGCAGGCTTTGAGGCACAGTTGTAGACTGTGCTCACTGCCACACATATATACATGGCAGCATTAGGAATATGGAGGCATTTCAGAAGGAGAAGAGAATCTAAAACTAACCCGTCGGATCGGAATGGGACTAGATCTTAAGGGTTTGACTGTGCTTGGGTTTGCCTTTGAGTCACCAAGTTTAAGAAGTGGAAAGGGATTTTCAGAGCTCCTCTAGTTAGACTTTCCTCAACCTGACCCAAAGCGTAGAGTCCTACAGCCATTACAACGTTGTGATAGGCCCAACCTCACAGCTGTGGGGACAGTATGCAGGAGAGGCTGTGTTTGAGCAGGGACCTTGTATCTACTGCGTAACAGTAGAGCACATGCTGTTTTAGGAACTATACTGATACTTGTTGGGTGAAAATACTAGGTGTTGTCCTGGATTCATCCGGAAAGTCAGGCCACGATTACCCGTTGCAGCCAGCCACTTGTGGGCCCCAATGATAAGCGCTGCAAAGAAGATGAAAAATATTTGCAAACAATAATGGACGCTAACGCACAGTCACACAAACTGATCATCTTTGATGCCCGGCAAAACAGTGTCGCCGATACCAACAAGGTACGTTCTCGGTAGTGTTACAGCAGCAGTGGCAGTCTCCTTCTGTCCTGGTGGTGAATGGTTGTGCTGTTTAAATGGGCCATTGACTCCTCATCCCTGAAGTGGGTCTCTCTAATCCCACAGCTATTAATCTCCCCATTGATATTAGCCAGCAAATGTGTCTAAATGCAATTTGTTCTCTATAAATTTATGAAAGGTAATAATAGGACAGATAGTCATGAGCAGATGGAGTCAGGTAATCAAATGAGCATGACTGCCTACTCTGTAATCAGACACAGAGAGAACAGTACCTGCAGGTCTCGAGGCTGGAGAAGGGGAAGGGGTGAGAAGAGGTCCCCACCTGCGCCCTGCAGGAATGTTAGGGGTGGGGCTGGACTTGTACAGGAGCAGAGCAGGGCCTGGAGAGAAGTCAGTGACATTGGGACACTACCTAGCCCACCCCCAAGTCTCCAAGGCCACCCCCCTCCCCAGGAAACGAAGCCGAATGTCCCCTGGAACCAGCTCTCCGCAGGATGACTCGGGCTTCCCTGATTTCAGGTCAGCACTACTGTCTCCTCACTACGCTTAGAGACTCAGTGAAGACTGGGGTCATTGAGTCCCACAGATGTGTTATTTTTTAAATTGAGGTAAAATTCACATGACTTAAAACACTATTTTTACCATTTTAAAGTGTGCAATTCAGTGACTTCCAATACATGTATAATATTGTATCACCATCTCCACTATCTGTTTCCAAAAGGGTTTCATCACCCCAGACAAACTCAGTATCCCCTGAGCAATAACTCCCCACTCGCCCATCTTCCTAGTCCCTGGAAACCACTGATACACTTTGGGCTCTATGCATTTCCTGTGCCACATACTTCCTATAAGTAGGATCATGTGATACTCGTCGTGTTATGTTTGACTGACCTCACTCATCGTCACATTTTCAAGGCTCACTCGTGGTAGCATGAGTCGAACTTAATTTCTCCTTATGGCTGAATAATACTCCACTTGATGGGTAGACCATGTTATGTTCATCCATTCATCTGTTGATACATACCTGGGTTGTTGCCACCCCTTGGTTGTTGTGAAGAGCACTGCAGTGAACACTGGCGTACAAGTATCTGTTTGAGCCCTTGCTCTCTTTTCTCTTGGGCATGTACCTAAGAGCAGAATTGCTGAGTCTCGTGGTTGGTTCTATGTATAACTTACGGAGGAGCTGCCAACCTGTTGCCCACAGTGGCTGCACAGTTTGCGTTCCATCAGCAATTTCTGCACATCCTTGTCACAGGTGTGCTTGGAATGTTGACCTGTATAAACATAAGCTACTCACAGGCCAGATCTGGTTGTAAGATCATCAAGAGCTGGGCCATAACTTCCATGTTGCCCCCTTTGCATTTTGCTTTGCTTAAATCAGTCTGTTTGGAACTCACTAATTGTTTAATTTTACAGAAATTTTCTGGTAATACAACTTCTTCTATTCAGGTAGATGGCGGTGACAGAACCTTTTCAAAGCTAATTCTCCTTGAGTAAATCCAATCGTTTAAAAACTGACAGTGGGCGATGGTGGGTGTAGGAAGTTATTAGCAGATGAGTGAGTTTGTTTTTTTTAATAGTCTACATAGCTGGGAACACTAGAAAGACTAGAAAAGTTACTTCCCGGCGATGTCATCTGTGTCTTTGGTTTTTAACAGGCAAAAGGTGGAGGGTATGAAAGTGAAAGCGCTTACCCGAACGCTGAGCTCGTGTTTCTGGAAATCCACAACATTCACGTAATGAGAGAGTCGCTCCGGAAACTGAAGGAGCTCGTCTATCCATCCATCGACGAGGCCCGGTGGCTATCTGGCGTGGATGGGACGCACTGGCTGGAGTACATAAGGGTAAGGCAGTCCCGTCTTTCCAGGGCTTTCACGGGAAGGGGATCGCTGCCGGCACCGGACGGTCTCTCAGTGTGTCAGATGCGTGCGTCATTGCTGGGGACTCCACCTGTTTTGCTGTCCAGGGCAGGAGCCAGTGGTCTGTGGGGGCTTTTGTGAGAGAGGAAAAAGGGTGAGATCGATTTATCTCAGATTGGGCTTGAAAAGAACTCTGTGGCCCTTCAATAAAGGACCGTATTTACTGTAAGTTTGGGGGAAGCATGCTAATGTTGCCTCTCATTCTCAGTTTAATGCATGACATGGTTTTGTTTATCGACCTGAACTTCCGGAGTTCTCCCCAGGATTGCTTTATGTTGTGACAGAAATTAAGTATACAATGTGCCTTCTTTCCCCAAGACACTTCTTGCTGGGGCAGTCCGAATTGCTGATAAAATAGAATCTGGGAGAACCTCAGTGGTCGTGCACTGCAGTGACGGTTGGGACCGAACAGCCCAGCTCACATCTCTGGCCATGCTGATGCTGGACAGCCATTATCGGACCATTAAAGGATTCGAAGCCCTCATAGAAAAGGAGTGGCTAAGCTTCGGACATAGGTTTGCGCTGGTAAGATGAGACGGTTAGGTTCCGTCATACCTGTCTGTGTGTCTCGTGTAATAAACACATACAAGTACATGCTTCCTGCTGTCAGACCTGAACTGTCAGAATAGAATGACGTGGACCTAAGCCTGTATGTTCCTGGCAGGGCGAGAGAATTCTTTTCTTTCTTTCTCTTCCTTCCCCTCCCTCCCCCTCTCTCTCTTTCCTTTTTGGCGTAGTTTTTGCTTTAAAATTGAGGTGGAATTCATATAACATCTCACCCATTTGGAAGGGAACAGTTCAGAGGCGTTTAGTATAGTCACCACATTGGGGGAGCACCACCTCTGGCGAGTTCCAGAGCAGCTTCATACAGTCACTGCCCGGTCCCCCTTCTCCTAGTCCCAGGTAACCACTCATCTACTTTCTGGATTTGCTTGTTCTAGACAGTTCATGTAAATTAATCACGTAGTATGTGGCCTTTTGTGTCTGGCTTCTCGTAGTCTTTTCAAAGGCTACATTATAGCATGTATCAGTACTTTGTTCCCTTTTATGGCTGAATAATATTTCATTGTGTTATCCATTCATCTGTTCATCGGTTGATCAACGTTTGCATTGTTTCTACCTTTCGGCCACTGTGAATAGTGCTGCGACAAGCATTCGTGTACCCATTTCTGTTTGCACTCCTGTTTTCAGCTCCCCTGGGTATATGCCCAGCAGTGGAATTGCTGGTGGTTGGACATTCTCGGGCTTTAGTACAGATGGCAGCTACTTCCTGGTCTGCCCAGGCCATTGAGCTATTTGCAATTCCCCTGCTCCATGCACTGAATTAGAATACACCTGATGTGCCATTCAGACTTGCTTAGAAGCAGCAGGCAGATGAGTATTTCTGGGACCTGGCTGCAGTGGTTCCAGGTGCACTAGCTGTGCCCTGCTTCCCAGGGGGAGGGCTCTGGAAGAGACCCCACCGAGAGAAGTGCACATTGGGAGCCCTTACCAGGTCCCTTGGACACAGCACTTCCCCTCTCTGGACGTCAGTGTCCTCATCTCTGAAAAGGGGTGTTGGGAGGATGAAATGAATTGTGTTGAGTGCTGGGGACAGGGCCTGGCCCATGATCGAGTGCTGGCAGTGGGTTAGCTCCTGCAAGTATTTTTTTACACTGTTAGAAAAACTAACCCTAACCGGTAAGTCAAGTACAGTTCAAAGGTTTTATTGGTCAGAAAAAACTGTTTGCGAGTGAACAGGGATCACCCTTCAGAGGGGAGTGTGTCACATTCCAGTTGTGACAGAGGAGCTACCAGAAGGCAAATCTAAAGTGAAGGGTCGTCACCCACATAAGTGGCAGCAGGTGACCTGAGGCACTTCCTTCATTTGTTCTGCAGACCAGCTGTGGCTTATTTAATGGTTTCCACTTTTCCTGCAAGACTTTAGTTTCTGTGAAGGTTGGGACTTAAGTTGAAATGGAGAGGTGTTTAGTTCCCAGTGGTCACTCCTTTATCATCGTATCCCCCCTCAAGGCTTTTCTCAGTGACTTCGGTGGAGTCTTCTCCCAGCACCAAACGGTGATGTCACCAGGGCTCTGCCCTCACTCTCTTCCCTTGGGCGGGGACTCACTGACCACTTGTGAGGTGACAACTCTCAGCCTGGGCTCTCTGTCAGCACCTTGCCTGCTCCTGAGTCCATATCTTATTCCTCAGGAGACAGCGCCATGGGATGTAACACAGCCTCAACTCGGCCGGTGCCCCCTCCCCATGCCACTTCCTCCTCTGTAGCGTGCTCCTTCTCACAGAGTAGCCAGTACCTGCTCAGCCCCCAAGCTGGGTTAGAACCCTCCTTGACCCCTTTGGACATAACCTTCCATAACTGTTACTCTACCTGGCCAGTATCTCGTAGCCCACTGCCCGATTCAAAACCTCCTGTTCTCTCGCCAGATGATTTGTTGATCCTTCAGTCAGCCGGTCATTGGGTCCGCCCACAGGGCAACGTTACTGCCAGGCCTGGGGATAAGACTCCGGGAGGCATGTGGCCTAGCAGCGCTTCTGGCTCATCAGATGCCCTCAGTATGTCTCACCTCAGAACAGACAGGGGGACCTGTGGTGATAGCAGCATTGGAGGGTGGGGCCTCTGCCTCAGAATGGGCAGCACAGGGCAGTCAGAGTGGGCTTCCTGGAGAAGGAGATCTTTGGATTAGTAGACAAATCAGTGGTGTGGAATAGAGCCTCCAGCAGCTGACCCCACTAAGCATAAGGAGTTAGTCAGTTATCATCGTGCCAGTCCGCATTCCCGGGGAGAGGAAGAATCCTTCAGACAATGATGTCGGGATGACGGCTTCCGTGCTGGGAAAGGGTAGGCTCCCGAGCAACCGCCAGGCCCCAAAGGGAGTTTAAGCTCAAAGTGGAGGGGGGACGCTCTTTCTCAGCATTACAGCAGCAGGAGGGGCCTTGGGCTGCCTCCTCGTGGATGTGCTGCACGCTAACCACTCTGAAATGAGTGGGTTCCAGGGTGTGGGCTAGGAGCAACGGGAGTGAAAAACAGTCTCTCAGCAAATGAGCAGATAAACAAAATGTGGCCCGTCTATAGACTGGAATATTGTTCATCCATAAAAACACCAGAAAAAAAAAGAACCAAGAAACAATAAAAATGATGTTTGAATGAATGTTACTGAATTAGCAAACATTTCTTCTGACATATTTTAGAAAACCGTAAAACACCACTGTGAGCAAGCTGTAAAAGCACAGATAGATGAGGGGAAATGACCTGGGGGGTGGCTATGACCCAGGGTGAATCCAGGTCCCCACTCTCCCAGGCCTCCCATCGCCCTTTCCGCTGACACTTCTTGGGATTCTTTGTTGGACGTAGACAGGCTTGGTTGAAATCCCTGCTCTTCTTCTTATTAGTTGTGTGACCTTGGGCAAGTTACTTCACCTCTCTGAGCCCATCTCATCTGTAAAATGAGGATAACAATAGTACACTGTGGATGTTGTGAGGATTAGGTTAGGATGTAATTCAATGATGTGCGTGGTGCCACGCCTGTGCCATTTTCTTCTTGGCACAGAGCCTGGCATGTAGTAGGTACCTGATAACTGGAAGCCCTGAAAGCCCAGCGAGGGCCACTGTGCGTTGGGATTCCTCGACGACACACAGTAGTCTCGGCTTACTCCTGTGAATGTTCTTCGAGAGTAGCTATGGCCCTTTTTCCCTGCTCCCTTCCTGGATTGTCACAAGGCCAACCCTGGGTGTCCAGGCCTCACTCCCCCGTTCAAGCCTCTCCTGTCCCCCTTCTGCCAGCACCTCCCACAGAGTATTGTGAGCGGAACAACTGAGTCTCTCGACCCCCAGCACTCTGGGTCCTCAACTCCACCTTTCGCACTCTGAACGACAGTGCCATCAACCCCCATGGATAACCCTCTCTACCACTGCCGATGTCCCTCTGATCCAGGCCTCGTCACTTCCCTCTGGGCTGGCATGGCAGGCTCCTTCAGTTCTTTCAGTTCGAGAAATGCTGAGCGTGTTCTTCCTTTTTGGTTTTCAGACTCCAGGTCTTTGCACATTTCATTATAGTAATTGGCTTTGTCTACTCGA